GGTCGGAGGGGGAGTAGGGAAGGATGAGGGATGGAGAGCCAGAGAGAGAGATGAAAAAAAAAAAAAGGGGGGGGCGGGGGAAGGCAGAGGGTCAGAGGGGTATTTCTTTATCTCTAGCTGCTGGCCAAGGTTATTCTGCAGAGTTTAGGAAGCCTTTTGAGTGTATAGAAAGTAGGAAAGGAATGTATGCCTTGTGACGTAATCGTTGGTATATACGCTTGTAAGAAGTTTTTTCTATAACTCACTTAGCAGATGAGGGCACAAGCCATCTGTTGAGTCAAAACAGCGCTGTTTTTAATAAATCAGTTGCTTCCTTCAGAAGTCCAAGCCTGGAGTTTTCCTGATTTTTCGGAAATTGCTACTACACTGGGAAGGTTTGAAGTTGAGTCATCCTTAGACTTTGCCCTGCAGGGGTAACTGTAACAGTTGTCTGATCCTCACACTGACTACTCTTGCTTGTACAGGTATTACTTTAACGCTAACAGCCAATAAACATTTTTCAGATCGGATTAGAAAGTGCACCTACTTGCCAAGAACATTGTTTTCTAACATAAAAAAACATTTTTAAGCTCATTGTAATTTAGTTAGACATTTTCTGTAGTGCTGATAAAAGGTGTAGTACAAAAAAAAAAGCTTTGCAAAAAATTAAACATAAATATAAACTATACATGCATTTCTTTTTAATACAACGATAATTATTGCTGAACAAAATCCACATCTGTCACATAGAAACATGGCACAATGTAGTCTTTTTTTTTTTCTTTTTTTAGTCTAACGATTCTGGCTACATATAAATGTATTGGCAGAGAAGCTTTACTTTTCCATGAGTGTTCACATTTGCCAGTGCATCTGGCTGGTTTTCTACCACTACCCATCAATCTTGTTTGAATGCAGACATATGCAACAAGTTTATGTAAAAAAAAGAGAGCTTTATTAACGCTGAATTTTTGACTCCTGGAGCACAATGTACTCTATTAAATATACATGTCATGTTTAATGTATTAAGATGCCAGAATTAGTAATAAGACCAAAAAGTAATGAAACTTTAATGCTACATTTCCAATAAGTATATACTACTGTTAAATAATATAAAAACTGTCTTAAGGCATACACTCTTTCATATACTAAAATGGCTACAATTGCCTTTATGCATTGCACTGTGCGTGATTTTTTTCTCAAAGTGTCAGTTCAGTTTTAAGCTGGTGACAAAGGAAAAGATTTCATATAAGTATTATGATTTTAAAGCCAAATCACCTGAACTAAACTTAAAACATAAATTTTTTTTGTTTTGTTTTGGAAGATACAGACCTATTATTAAAAATCAGATGTAGTGTTTCTGCATATAACAGGTCCTGTAATTTTATGGAGAAGGCAATATATTGGTTGCTGTAGACAACACTTTTGATTTTTTCTTTAAAATATTGTAAAAAGTGTTATGGTGTTTAAGAAAATAAAATATAACCTAAATTTATAGATATACACAGAATGATAAAGAAATCCCAGAGTGTGACTGCAAATGCTAAATATCAAAAAACATTGCAAGATAATACTGGCTCTTACAGTAGTTGCCTTAAGTAATCAGATGGTTATTGAATAGGCCCAGGACAGAAATGTAAACCAATACCCTCTTTGTCTAGTTTGACCAGTGTTAGTTTTTAAATAATTATTTTTACTGTGGACAAAGAGTACCATTTTTTTTATTTTCTTGGTTTATAATGACACTATTTGTATGTGGTGAGGTTATTTACAAATGAAATAAAGGTTTTTGAGCTATCACAAATGTTTCAAATGCAGTACTAAGAAAGGCAAACAAAACAAATGAAATACACATATTTTAGATATTATTGGCAATAAGGAAAATAAAGTAAAAAAAGTCCACAGAAAAAATTAGCTAAGGGAAGAAGGAGAGAAATGAGTTATTGAGGGCTGACTAAAGTTAACTAAAGATTGATGAGAAATTAAAATTGTTCTGCAGGCTGGAGTTTTTTTTTTTGAGTGCATTCAAATCCCAAAGCCCCCCCCCTTGTACTTACCTGAGCCCTTTCTCTTTCCAGTGCTGTGCATGAGAGCAGCATCCCTCTCCACTCTCTTCCTCCTCATAGACTCATTGGCTCCCTCTGCTGTCAATCACAGCCAGTGAGAATGGAGCAGGGGGTGCAGACAAATCTCGGTCTGTGTGTCAATAAACACACATAAGCGAGTCCACATGTGTGCCCCCATAGCAAGAGGCTTGGTGGGGGGGAGTCAGAAGGGGCCAGTGGGGTACCCAGAAAAAGGAGGATTGGGGCTGCTCTGTACAAATCCATTGCACCAAGCAGGTAAGCATGACATGTTTGTTATTACAAAAAATATGGGTTTACAATCACCTTAAAATAGATTTACTTTTATTAAAAAATAAAACCTTTTTTTCACTTGTTAGATTGCTTTAATTGTATGTACATTATGTACAAATAGTGTAAAATATAGTGTAACAAGAATATAATCAGTGTCTTTATGAACAAAGCAGTGCAGACTGTGTTGCAACACAGACAATGACAGACAACTGCAATTTCTGACATAGAACTAATATAAGGTATAAGATCCAGAACTGGTTAACAATCCCCAACAGATGGGAACAAAAATAAAGGTGAAGTAACAGCAGGCCTGAGCAAATAACTGAATGGGAGATTGTATGTAATCTGCACCTGAGCTCCATGATAATATGCAAATGGTAAGCAAAGCAAATGGACAAATATTATTGCTCCTTTGGGGTTAGCAGAGTTTGGGGAAGTGTGCAGTTGTGTGTGCTTTATATAGGTCAGTGAAATTTGGTTTCTACTTTGCTTCTGGGTAGGAGTTTACCTACCACTGATTGCTTCATAATTAAGAAGCATATTTTTAGAAGGGGGTATCAAGAGAACACAGAAGTAGAAACGGACAAATCTGAACAAGTAAATACTTCTCGTTGTTGGTCTAAAACCCTAAATTGACAAATAAACCAAAAACATTCCTTCATTAAAATCATTACTGAAAAACAAGATAAAACAAGATAAAACAAACAAAAAAACAGGTCAATCTAACATCACAGCTAGCGGAATGATGAAACTTGCCATGGGCTGATTTTCACCACATCCACTAAACTAAGGGAGCATAACACCCCGGTCACATCAAGCCGACTTTGAAATCATGTGACTTACACAATTTCTAAGTCGTGTGAGATGCCGATTGCAGGTACGATTTGCAAGACATCTGACACAGATGTCTATGCAAATCGCACCAAAAGTAGTACATATACTACTTTAGAAATCAGTGCGGCTCCGACCAAGTTGGAACCACACCAATTTGACAGGTCTAATTGCAGACAATAGGGTGCAACTTGGCATACGATTTGCAAGTCGCATGGCATGCAAATCACATGCCAAGTCGCACCCGATGTGACCAGGGTGTTACATTGCAAAGTGAACAGCCTATTTGTCATTAGTAAATCAACCCCAATGTCATTATTTGTCTGTACTGAATATTAATGTTTTTAACTAAAAAAAAAAAAAGATTTCTGCAATCCTGCTCAAGACACAAAACAGTAACACGAATAGATTGTTTATTACATTGTACATATAGTACCTCGTTTTTGTTTAATTATATTTATTTATGTGACCCTTTGTCAATGTGCACAAGCTGTGTCTTTATTCATGCACCTGCAAGTACTTGTTTTGTATGACTTGTTTCCATGGAAGGTTTTTCTAGAGCTTCTGTTCTAAGGGTCTTTTGGCCTTCACAATATATTTTTTTAATGCTTACATTTTATTCAGAACTCCTGACATGAGTGAAGTCTAACGTTCTGGTGTAAAAAAATTGACATAATCATTTTGTGCTGGTTTATAAGTGTGTATGAAAATATCTAATCACTAGAATGTCACAATCGTCATCAAATTTGTTTTGCTGTGTTTCACTTAAATTACTGTTAATTCTGACTTCAAATATATGTCAAATATTAGAATATAATTCTGAGGCCAACTCTGCGGGTACGACCCACTAGGACGTTCTAAATGAGTAAACTCTCTAGACTCTGGGGATGATTTACCATGACTAATGCAATATAACAGTAAAATGGAACAGTTATCCTGAACAGTTTTCTTTTTACCATTTCCTAAGTTATAAATCTGGTTATAAATTAAATTGAACAGCAGTCAGCAAGGGGTCTAATATAGTCTAGAGGGATATAACAAATAGGAATGCTTATCTAATTTACTATTATTATTCGGCATTTATACAGTGCCAACAGTTTGTGCAGCGCTTTACAATACAAATGGGGACAGTACAACAACGCTTTACAATATAAATGGGGACAGTACAATTACAATACAGTTCAATACAGAAGGAAAGGGAAGGCTCTGCTCCTGGAGCTTACAATCTAAAGAGAGCGGGAGGTGGTACAAAAGGTAATAGCTGCAGGGGATGATCTGATGAAGGTGACTCAAGCACAGCTTTTTAAGGAAGGTGGGGGGTAGACTTCACTGAAAAAGTGACTTTTCAATGATCACCTAAAGGCGGACAGGGCAGGAGTTGACTGGACACTCTGGGGTAGAAGGATGGGAGAGGTTATTGGAAAGTCCTGGGGGCAAGCATGGGAGGAGGTAACAAAGGAGCGAGAGAGCACAACATCTTGGGAGGAGTAGACAGATTTGGGTGATATCTGCAGATGAGGATGATGATATAGCTAGGGGCATTGTGGCGGATGCTTTAAACAATGTGATTAGTGTTTTGAATTTTATACGTTGCACTAGTGGAATCCCCACAGGCTTTCTCCCCTCCCTACTCTATTCATGTCCATCCCACAATGCCACTACATTTCTCTGATCATGCAGCCACTCCTTTGCCAATATATTCGTGTACTCCAGTGTTTCTGCATTGTACAAGAGGACCTTAAAAGCCTGTTAGGGCTGAAGCAAGAGTAGGAGCAGGGAAGAGCTCCTGGGGAGGAGGTTGAATAGAGTAAGTATGGCTCCCTATTACATAGGACCCATTAGACCAGGGCTTGAAATTTCCACTTGCCTGCTTGCCAATGGCGAGTGGAAATTATGGTGGGGGCGAGTGTGTCCCTCAGGGCCGTCTTGCTGAGCAGGCTCGGAGCTCAGGCCGGATCTCTCATTGGCACTGGGAGCTGAGCGCTCAATAGCTGAGCGCAGTGAAAGCAAAGCAAGGAGTGTGTGCTGTGCTCTCTGGCTCCCCCTAGAGTGCAGTACCCGGCTCTGTGAGTGAACAATGAAGTACTGCAATTTTTTATGGGTGTGTGTGTGTGTGTGTACATGTGTGTGTGTTTGTGTGTGTCTGTGTATCCATGTACAATTGTACATGTGTCTGTGTGTATGTACATGTGTGTATCTGTACATGTGTCTGTGTGTGTGTACATGTGTCTGTGTGTGTGTGTGTGTATGTACGTACATGTGTCTGTGTGTACATGTGTCTGTGTATGTATGTACATTTGTCTGTGTGTGTGCATTTCTGTGTATGTACATGTATCTGTGTGTATGCGTGTCTGTATGTGCCTGTGTGAGTATACATGTGTCTGTATGTGTGTGTGTGTGTGTGTACATGTGTCTCTGTGCGTGTGTACATGTTTCTGTGTGTTTGTGTGTGTATGTACATGTCTGTGTGTGTGTACAGGTGTCTCTGTTTGTGTGTGTTTGTTGGTGGTGAGTAACTCTAAGGCCTGGCTAGTAGCTCAGGACTTGAAATTTTAAGCCCTGCATTAGACCTTTAGAATACAGGACCGGGGGGACATGAGCCTTGAGACCTTAGTATACGAGGCCTGGGGGCAAAAGGGACCAAATGTAATTTTAGAAGCCTATCTGGTTTGCACAAAAAGTATCAGCAAGCCCTTGCAAGGCATTCATAAAGCATCAAACAGCTTTCCTGAAGACTGTAGACCCTGTATAAAAGGAAGTCCGTTAAAGAGAAACTATAATTGTTTAGGATTCTCTCGTATCATTATGCATTATTTGGATCTCTGTAAATATAACTTTGGAGGGGCCATGTAAATAGAGCAGGAATAAATACTGCTCTGCACCACTAACTTGTGTATAGCTTATATATTGTATATAATCTTAGCTTGCTGATGTTTGAAGAGCAACACATACAGAAAGCATGTGAAAGGCATTTAAAAGTGGGAAGCCCTTTGTGGAAACTTTTTAGGCCTCATTTATACTTGCATTGCTCTCTGAAGAGCAATCTGCATTCAGACCGCTCTTCAGAGAGCATTTGACAGGAGGTGTGGCATTGTATTGCCGCCTTATCACCTGTTTTAAACCACTGAATGCTGGACTACCATGCTAAAACTGTGTGCATTGTGCACAGATGCAGGGCCTTTGCAGCATGGCCCCATTCACTGGAATGGATCACATTCAGTGGGCAGTAATGCTCATCAAATGCTACATGGGGTTTAATATTCCTGCTTCAGCTGCCAAGCAAACCATTTTGGGCCCAGCATGTGTATACCCCTGGCTGCTGCCTTTCCATCTAAAGGAGGAGTATTAGAACTACTATTGTAAATTAGCTTCTACCTACCTGCTGGTTCTGTGACAGGAGGAAGTAATTCCTATGTGCATACAGTATATGGAAGGTACATCATCCTGGCCCAAATAAGATAGCCAAGGACTCCAAATTAATTTGCTCTGATGGGTTACTTCCACTTTAATGTAAACCCGTACTCAAAAAAACCTTTGAAACAGTGCTTGAACTTAGTGATAGATCACTGAGACACCAAGTGCTGTTTCATGGGCGGAGAAGGGCATGCTTTCTCTTCCAAAGCCCTTGACAGCTTACTATGGTGGCTTCAACTAGCTACATTTTAAAGCTGGCTAGATGTATACCTAACAATACCATTAACTGACATAACTCATTTCTTAAAGATTGTGGGTGGTACTGGCTGCATGATGGTTTCAGGGTCACAGTTTCACCAACATATTTATATCATGGTTGGTTTCCTCGGTATTGAGCATTCCCAAACTGGAAGAGCTTTTTAGGACTCAGTACACATTGGCATTTTCAATCATAGTATTAAAAGCTAGCTCAGAGCACATTATTTGCAGCACATATTTACCAAGCATTTGTAAAGCATTAAGCAGTTTGCCGAAAGCCCTTAAAGTGGAAGTGAAGTCTGTTTACTGAAAAGTGCAGGTTTTTTTTGACAGAAGGCAGTTTGATGAAATTGTTGTCTGGTAAAGCCATCGAATGGGTTCCTGAGAAGAAAATGATGGGCTTTGGGAGCTGTTCTCCGATGACTCCTGAAACAGGTTGAAGGGGTATGGGATAATCCCCAACACTTGGCCTAAGCGCCCCTGTAAAATGTTTATAGCACAATAAAAACCTACTTAAATGTATAAATGTGTGTATCTTTTGCCTTGCGCAAATGCTTCTATTTAATAAAACTTGCTGTAAAGCCACAATTAGAAATATCTGAAAGCCTTCTGTGTAAAGATTTACAATTTTGTTTTTCATTGACCTTCTCACACCTCTGCTCTATGTTTATTTCTATTACTATATGCGTTATTATGGTAGTGGATAATGGAATCTTGCTGCTGCTTTTCCTGTTAGAAGGAAAGCAAACGAAGAATAATAAGAAAATTTATCTCCACAAGGAATTTCACAGTATAAATAATACATGAATTATTTTCATTTCAGAGACTTAATTTAAACAAACTACACAAGCAAATGGAATAAATACTAACTACACAGTCCTCAGCTATGATTTACAATAACGTACACTAATAATTATGTAATACTAATATACTAAGCTGTTATCACATAGCACAGAATGTGATATCAGACATTCACAAAGAATGAATTCATTATAAATATCATGCAATAAATTGCTTCCCTTTGAAAAATGTTTGTTACACACACAGAAAAAAATGTGTCAGCTATGAATGCAATGATCTCATTCTCTCTGACTAGCACACTTTCAATAGTCTCAATCAAATTAATTCTGCAGGCAGCTGATAACAACTGCTAAATCAAAAGGAGAAATATATGTGCAGGAATCAAAAGGAAATGAGGCAGTGCACACACAATATGAGAAATAAATGTTTAGTTATTGGGTACCTTTATTTTATTATTTAAAGGTGATGAATCCAAAACAGCAACAAACTGAATACAACATTGGCAGTTGAGCATGGTACTTATCTTTTGCTATGTAACAAGGTTCAGATTTCCCAACCACTTGAAACCTTGCAGCAATTGTGCCAGTTATCTCAATATCCAAGAGAGATCTGCTTAGCTGACCTATGAAATTAGAACACATATATTATAAAATATAAATTAGAAAATATTCCTTTTCTGATCCCACCGCTTAATGTAACTTTCACAAATATATTTTATAATAAAATTATAAAGAAAAGGAAAATGTATTGCAAAATCCACATGTTAGGTTCAGTAGTACTGTGTTTCTTGCAGACCATGCTCACATAGAAAATAAACTGTGGCACTCTAGAATCCTATGCTCTTATTAAAACATGATTATTGCTAGGAACACAGCCCGTAGGATCAATAGATTCTGTCAAAGTACCAACAACTTAAAAACTGTATGGATTACTTGATTAAACCTCTGTTGCGGAAAGGGGATGTTTGGGATCTTCTAGTACTAGGGATTAGTAGTCTGTGGATTAACAGAGGTGCAAGGAAAGAGGATCTTTATGATTACCAATATAATTCTTTAAGGTTCTTAAACATTGACGAGGATTAGCAATGGAGTTGTGACAAATAGTCAACATAAGCTTTTATCCAAAAGTTAATCATTACATACACACAGGACCATTCTGGTTGTATAGTATTGATATTTGTCCTGTATCACTGTCGATCAAGATACCTTGCTGATGATCTTTGCTTGTATGAGTAACCAGTTGTTAGAAATGACTGCTTGCAAAGGAGTAAATGTTAAAGTAAAATCTATGTATCTTTTTTGGATAAAGTAGGCATGGATAAAATTCTTGCCATGTATTGCTTTATTTTCTTTATCAGGGGCTGGATGAAGGTTTTGTAAGTAAAGAAAACAGATATACAATAAAGCTATCAATAGCGCCATATGTCTGTGATCCAATATTGCACTTAACCTGCTTTTGGCAAATTAATCAATCAAATTAAATGAAGGGGAGAAAGTAAAAGTAGCAGCATTTTACAAGAATTTTGCGTTTGAAACGCTGATAAAATTGACTGCTGAACGCAGGTTTTCTGCATTCAAAAAAACGACTGTAAACTCAACTGCCTGTAAATGAAGATGTGTACATGGACACATAGGAAAACATTAGGGTGAGTTCAGGGGCTGCTGAAAAAAATTGCTGAACAGCTCCTAAACATGAGTTTATCAGCTGCAGTGTACATGAGCCCCAAGTACTATCCAGCAGCAACTTCATAAGGCCCAACAGATTGATGCTTGGAGGGTCCTACATAATTATTTGACCTTTTCATTACACACACACACACGCAATATATATGCACAGATAAATTTAATTTTCATAGATCAACATCATCCTGAACATTTGAAGAGATATTAAACTTTTTTCCTTAAAACAACAAGCATGTCATACTTACTTGCAGAACAGCCCCGATCCTCCACTTTTGGGGTCCCTTGCCAGCCCTCTGGGCTACACCCCCCCTGCCAAGTGACCTGAAAGCAAGCTGCTGGCTCTGGGGGCACTAGTGTGTGCTTGCTCCCGAGCCCTGCCACGTGTGTCCATAAGACACACAGAACGGGGCTCAGCCCCGCCCCAATAGCTCCCATTTCTGTATCTAAGCCAATGAGGAGCGAGAGAGCCAAGACAGCCTCATCTCTCTCTCTATTTAGGGGGGCTGCAGGGGAAGCTGCATTCAGGTTTTTTTTACCTTACTGGAAGTAAAGATGTAGGAAGTATTTTTGTATTTATTTTTTAAGTTATGTTGCGTGAATGAAAAAAATTTAACAAATATAAAGTAAGTGTTTACCCAATTTAGCTGCAAAAGTGAAAATGCTCTGTAAAGAATGCCTATTACCACATTTATGCAAATATAGTAACTCAAACTCTAACACAAGGACACCAGCTTAGACCTCAAACATCACTTACACACATTACAGTTTTTTGAAAACCTGACACAAAAGCACCCCCCTGTTATCACCCCCCCCCCTCCCTTGTATCCCTTTTAATTGCTGGCTCACATATATGTGGACTGGATGCAGTTTTAACCACATCCAATCCACATGACATGTGAAATAACATTGCTTCCTATTGTGCCTGTTTACATACGTCTGGTGCACTGGCAGTGCTGATTGAAAAAGAGTCATGTCTGATTTCTGAGCATCTATGGGAACCATTTCTAAGCTGCACATGTCATCAGTTGTGAACAGGATAAAATCCTGACCTGAACTTGATCTAAATTAGCTGTGAAACCTGAGCTTTATTGCACATGTGTGAATCAGCTCTAAACATGCATATCAAACTGAATACCAAGGCAATACCTTGAGAGAAAATTTTTTTTTTTTTTTTTTTTTTTATAACAATTTTTATTAATTTTCAAAAATATACAAACAGTATGTTTAAGAAAAAAAAAAAAAAAAAAAAGGATACGATAAGAAAACAAGCAAAACAGAAAGGTACATCGATGGCAAAACTGCGTAAGGGCAGGACCAACAAAAACATAAAATAACAGTGTGAAGGTTATCAGGACCTTACATTTTGGGCCGGCATAGAGGAAATGAAGGTATCCCATGGGAGCCAAATCATCTCAAACACAGCAAACGAACAACTATGTAGTGCAGTCAAGTATTCCATCTGTCTAACATCAGCAATAAGTTTGTACAGAATCGACATTGAAGGAGGAGGGGTAGAAGACAACCAACACATAGGAATGCTTCTCCTAGCCGCGGTCAGAACATGTACAGCAAGTTTTTCCGGATGGTTTAGGTAGACCCGGAAATGGTAGACCTAGCAAAAAATGTAGTGGATCAAGTGGGAGAGAGGTATGCATTAGTGATTGTAACAGGAGAGAACATCTTTCCAAAAAGGAGTAATGGAGCTGCATGTGGCCAAAAGATATGATAGAGAGAACCCTGGTCTCCACCACAGACGCCAGCAGGCAGTGAGAGAAGCATTCGGATTATAAGCATGAAGAACTTCAGGTGTTTTGTACCATAACATCATGAGCTTGTATATATTTTCCTTTAAAAACCACACAACAGAAGATCTAGATGCATTTTGGCCAAATTTTCTTCCACGTTAATAGATCAATATCACATTGTGGAACGAATTGAGACCACCTACGCATATAAAGGTGAGTGTCATTGGATAAAGAGGGGGCATCTAGAAGTAGTTTATGTTGTGTTAGAAATAATACCTCTTTGGTGGGGACCCTGCATACATAAACGTTCAAAAGGAAGTAGGCTTCCCCAGGGTTAATGAGGGTGATAAGGTGGAGAAGAAGTGGCGTATTTGAAGGTAAATATATAGGTGTTGAGAAGGTAGAAGAGCTTTTTTCTGGAGATCTGGGAATGAGTGTAACTCACGAGTCACCGGGTGTACCAAGTGACGCAATTGAAAAAGGTTAGCTACTACCCAAAGAGACATCCGGGACATGGCCATATTATCTGGAAGATTAGGGTTATGGAGGATATTTGTCAGTGGGGAGCAATCAGAGGCCAGTGTAAATTTAGCCTTACATTTCTGCCAAACAGCCAGAGAAAAGTGCATGGGACCAAGGCGTAGGTGGCGAAAGAAGAGACATCCACTGCTGAGGTCGACCAAAGGAGGGAGCATGGATGAACCGGAGACAATTGTAAAGATTTGATCTCAGCCCACGTGTTGGGAGGATAGTGAGTAGACCATGACATGAGAAAACGAAGATGAGTTGCATAGTAGTATGTTATTATATCCGGTGCCCCCAAGCCCCCCCTAGAACGCGGAGAAAGCAAAACAGAACGTGCAATCCTGTGCCGCTTGTTGTGCCAAATAAAATGCAGGAAAGATTTCTGGAGGGAGTGAAGTTTGGACATAAGAACGGGAACGGGGAGAGTCGCAAACAGGTATAACGGTTTGGGTAACACGGTCATTTTTAGTACGTTAATGCATACGAGAAAAGAAATGGGCAGGGCATCCCAGTGTTTCAGAGAGCGAGAAATTGCTATAAATAATGGGGGGAAATTGGCCTCGTATATGGATTGGTAAGAGGAAGTCAGATTAGTACCTAAATATTTTAAAGAGTGGGTGCACCACCGGTAGGGAAAGGCTTCCTGAAGCGAGGATAAAACGCCAGAAGGGACATGTATCGGGAGTGCCTCAGTTTTAGACGTGTTAACTTTGTAGCCAGGTATGGCCCCAAATTGTTTCAAGGTCTTATGCAAAATCGGTAGGGAGGTATGGGGACTCGCAAGCGTGAGGAGGATGTCATCAGCAAACAGCGATAATTTGTATTCATGGTTATGGGATCGTATCCTGCGGATATCCGGATTCGACCTGATGGCGATGGCTAATGGTTCCAGACAAAGAATGAACAGTAAAGGAGAGAGAGTGGGCAACCCTGACGTGTACCATTTGACATCTGAAAGGGGAGTGAAAAAAAAGAGGCTAATCTGACCTGCGAAAAGGGGGAAGAATAAAGGGCCTTCAAGGCTGCTACAAATGGACCCCTGAAACCAAATCTTTCCAAGACCATGAACATGTAAGGCCAACTTAAACGGTCAAAAGCTTTCTGAGCATCTAAACTTAATAATATAGCGGGAGTGGAGGATCGGTTAACCAAGTCTACCAGATCAATGGATCGCCTGGTGTTATCTGCAGCGTGTCTGGCAGGTACAAAGCCCACTTGGTCCCTATGTATGAGTTTGGAAATAATTCCAAACAGTCGGTTGGCCAAGATTTTAGTGAAGATCTTGTAATCGGAATTAAGTAGGGCAATGGGGCGGTAGTTGTCTACTATAGAGTGATCTTTATCGGGTTTGGGGATAACCGAGATATATGCTCGGGAGAATTCAGTCTGGGGAGTGACCCCCTTGAAAAGATCTCAATAAAAGGAGAGGAGATGAGGAGCCAGGATACCAATAAAAGATTTATAGTAGGAGTAGGGCAATCCGTCCGATCCCGGGGTTTTACGAGAGGGAAGATGTTTAATTGTGTCAAACAATTCCCCTGGCGTAATATCAGCATTAAGGGTGGCAATGTCTGAGGGTGAAAGACTCAGAAGTGACAGGGGGTCAAAAAAATTATCAAAAGATAACTGCTGTGTGAGGGGCGGGTGAAGGTCTGGGGTCAAACAGTTAT